GTTGGTTGAGTGCATTGTTCAACTCTTCTCTAGCATGTAGTTTTCTAAAATTTGATTAATCTTTACTTTTAAAAGCTTTTCACTAATCTTTCAATAGCTATTTAATTCCTACTGATATTAGTGGAAGCAATTAACATAGGTATAAGTTGCCCTTTTTACTTGTATAGGGGTTCTAAAAATGAGATAAATGAGCTTCAAACATACCTTCATCTTAGATTGTTGAATAAGCAGATGACTCTGTTCTCAATTGCCAACAGAGAAGACCTGCTTAATTTCTTTATTTGGCAGGAGAATTTGATACTAAAATAATATGAAAGCATTTTATTGTAAGTCAGAATTTACATTACACATGGCTCAAGATGATTATTGCAAAGAAATCCAATTGATATAATTAATTTTCCAAGCATATCTAACATTTCCTGGATTTATATTATGTACCATGTACTATGTACATAACTATACCATTTTGTTCAACCTCTGCAGACATCCCCTTGAGGAAACCTTATTAACAGGTTAAAAACCAACACACAGTGACATGTAATGAATTACATACTGTCACACAACAATGTGATGGGAGATGTAGGATTTGAATAACTTATTCAATATGAATATGAATGATAATCAGTATAGCAAGTCACCATGTAACTTTTAACAAACAATTTTGGTCAGTTAAGAGCATTTCTGAACTTTTACTACTGAAGGGACATTATATTTCACTTAATTTACTGACTAAATCAAAGTGACTGCTATAATGGGGTTGTATGTGTGAGGCAGAGAGGAGAGAAGAGAGAGAAGAGAGTGGGCAGGGGGGAGGGAGAGAGGCAGGGAGAGAGAGAGAGAGAGAGAGAGAGAGAGAGAGAGAGAGAGAGAGAATCATCTGCCATATGAATCTATAAAACTAAACTAAAGAAAACCAAGAGAGAAAATGCTTAACCTGGAGCCTTCTCTAGACCAAAACTCAGAAAAACAGGTTAGGCTTTATTATAAAGAAAGTATTTTCTTTAGACCATTTCATGAAGAGAGCTACCTCTTTTTCTTGCGTATATTAACTGCATAAAATAATGGGATTCATTGTGACATTTTTCTACAAGCATACAAATTGCTTTGATTATAATCATTTCCCCATTATCCCATTATCCTTTCATATCCCCCTCCCCTTGATCTCCTTCCTCTTAGCTAATAATAACCAGGCTACATCTTCAAGAAATCAAGGCAAAGGGCCTTCCTAGATTTCTGGTCCTCGTGAAGGCTATTGAGTAAAAAGGACCTTATTAAACTTGAATTTTAAATAGACTTTGAATGACATTAGCAAATAAATTGAGTACATGGAAAAGAGAAGGTCCAAGTTGATTTACAACCAACTCCTGGTATCATAAATTAAAACTGACTTGTTGAAAACTTTAGCTATGAACAGGTTATGAATAAGAGTTCAGAATTTGTTATAAATTTCTTAGAAAAAAGAAAACAAAATATATCCACTTTATAACATTTTTGTTCACTCCTAACATCAGTTGAAAGCCATATTCTATACATATTAATTTTGCCTTTATTGTAATAAAGTTCTGATACAGTAAGTACCTAGGTGTTTTTCAATACAAAGAATTGAACCCAGGGCCTCACACATTAGATCAGCTCTCTATCACTGTGCTATATTCTCAGCCCAGCTTTTAGTAAACCTCTACTACTACTAACCTCTACTACTTTATTAGTTTAACCTTTTTACTGGGATAACCACAGCCTTACTCACTCTTTGTGGAAGGAAACTAGAGGAAAGGCAGACTTTGCAGAGTCTGCCACTCAGCTTGAGAACCAACAGCCACCCCACTCACGCTGAGATGCTTCACTCCTTTACTACTCACTAATACACAGACAGAATCATATAGCCCCCAAGTTCCTTTGTGCCTTCAACAGATTATTTGTGTTTTCTATGTTTTGAAAATCCTTCCATCTCTTTTAGATTGTGTCATAGTTCCCTATGAGGGAGGTCATATGGAACAGGGGTGGGATGCAATTACATTAATAGCAGAGAAAACAGAGTTCAGATTTCAGCTCAGTCTTTTCATAAGCTGTGTGACCCAAGGTCATTCATTCAGCAACTCTGAGATTCTGCTTTTATATTTTTAAAAAATGGATAAGAGTTTCTAGTTTATAGGCATGTCATGTAGTTGAAATGAGATTGTGAATGAATGCAAAACACTTGGATCAGTACCTACCATGTGGAGATCACTTAAAGAGCCACCATTACTATTATGTATGTCAAGTTATAATTTGGCTGTGCGTGTTTGAGGATTCCTACTTGTTTAAGACTATTCTTTACAGTTTTTCAATGCCTATTTCTTTCAACATCTCCTCTTCTCATACTACATTCTGTTTCCTGCATCAATACAAATTATTTTTTTATTTTATTTGTATGAGTGTATTGCCTGCATGTATGTGAGTGCACCCATGTCATGCAAAGCCCGCGGAGGACAGAAGAGGCAGTCGGATCCCCTGGGACTGGAGTTACGGACAGTTGTTAGCTGCCATGTGGGTGCTGGGATTCAAACACAGGTCTTCTGCAAGAACAGCCAGTGTTCTTAACCGCTGAGACATCTCTCCAGGTCCCAATACAAACTATTTTAATTTTTATCAGGATGAGGTTGTGACATGGCTTTCAATTCTGATACTTTCAAGAAAATGCAAATTGACAATTTTAAGCCCACGTTCAATGGTAAAATTTTGGACGTGTTTTTCTAGGTGGTGTGTATCTTCCACTACAAAATCTTCTGGGAGAAACGTTAGAAAGTAGTGATTATAGTATGACATGGTGGCAATTCTCCTGCTTTAAGGCATTCAATACAGAATATTTGAGAACTGGCTTCTGTAGACTGAGCAAATAAAATGACACTGCTGCAAGGGTTCAAGTACAGCAAGTGCTGTGTTCCTGTGCATAGCTTGTCTTGAAATTGAAAGATTATATTTACTTGATATGTAGGCTTATCTCATTAAGGCTTGAACAGCACAGACTTTGCAAATATCCCAGCGAGTGAGCAGCAGGAGGAAAAGGACTAGAGAATAATGATTTGACATAGTTCCTGAGTATTGCAGTTTCCTAATGGCAGATGGGCCCTCAGCTAATTTCAGTGGTGTCTGGAAGCCTTAGATCATGATTTTCAGACAGTCTTATTCATAAACAATGCCACCTAAGTTGTGTGATGGGATGACAGAGGGAGAAGGGAATGACTACTCCTTAATGAAATGGCGGGGAGGGGCAGGGGGAACACAAGGTGTTTGAAATGTAAATGCTATCAAGACTGAAGTAGAAGTTAGTGCTGGAGAAAAACAAGTTTCAGAGGTACATTTATCAAGTTAATCAGACTACAACAGGGAACCGACGATTTAGCTGGAGAAATAGTAAGAGATTAAGTGTTAGCCTGAATGAGGAACTTGGGAGATAAAATGGAGTGCGAGAAAGCTGATCTGAGAAGCCAGAGCATTTGCTTGGAGGGGTGAGGAACTTTCCACTTTAATGGTGCAAGCAATGAGTTTTGCTTCTCAGTCAACCTTCGAATTTATTTTCATTTTTATAATTTCATTCTTGAGTACTATACTTACATTACCGTCACCCTGCCCTCTCCACCCTCCAACTCATCCCTCATCATCCGACTCCCTGTCAACTTTGTGACCCTTTCTTGGATTACTGTAGTTACACACACACACACACACACACACACACACACACACGCACACGTGTGTGTGTGTGTAATGTACTATGTCTATTTGGTGGTGTCCATGTGTACATGTGTTTATGGCTGACCACTTAGGATTAGATAACCCATTGTCTCTGCAGTAAACAGATTCTCCCTCCCTTAGCAGCAGTTGATTACCTGGAGCTCTTCATCTAGAGGTTGAACCTTGTGAAATTTTCCCCAGCCACACTGGTAACACTGGTGGTATTATTATGTCAATCTTGTTTAGGCAACCATATTGCTGAGATTTCATGGATGCAGCTTTCCTGTCCTACCTAGAATAATGATCGAGCAGTAGGTGTCCTGGACCCCTGGCTCTTAAAATTCCTCTGGCTCCCTGCTCAATTGATCCTGAGCACCCCATAATCACTTATTCTCTGCTACCTCAGCAGTTGTGGAACTGAAATAGTCTCAACCTGTTGCAAAAAGAAGATTCTTTTGAAGCTGATGAGAAGGCTCAGCCATTAAGAACAATTGTGGCTCTTGCAGAGGACCAAGGTCAAGTTTTCAGCACCCACAGGGCACCTCACAACCATTCTTAATTCCAGCTCCAGGAGACCTGGCGCCCTCTTCTTGCCTCCAAGAGCAGTGTATCTACATGGTGCACTTATATGCATGCAGATAAAGCACTCATACACTTAAAAATAGACAAAATATATTTTTAAAAAGCATTTCTGATAAATGGTGAGAGCTCCATTTTCTGTGAATATAAAAGTAAGTATTCAGAATATAATAATAAGTTACAGTGGTTTAAAAAAGTGGTAGTAGTAAGTTCTTCTCTTGGCTCTGTGACGTTAGACTGGCACAGTACGAGAGAATCCATGACTGGTACTGTAATCATATTCAACTATCCTTCGCTGGAGACACCATAGAACCTCCAAAATTTTTCTTAAAAGTCTTATTTTGTAGTAATATTTAAGTACAGAAAATATTTTTCAAATATCTTAATTTTTAGCTCTTTTGCACTTTCAAAGAGATTGTAAATAGTACATTCAATCAATAGTTATTTCTTTG